CAGCCCTTCTATGCCACTGTCCATTTCTGAAATCTTGTTATTTATCTTTTGGATTTCTAATTGTTGTTTTTGTATGATTTCTAGTTGTGAATTTATTTTAGCATTTTGTTCCTATATTATTTTCTTGAATTCTTCTATTTTTTTGTCTGTATTTTCCATGAATTTGTCTGTTTTTTCCTCATGTTTGTCTGCTTTTTGCTTCAACTCTTAGATAATTCTGAACATTAGAGATTTGAATTCCCTATCAGTTAGGTCTAGTGCCTTTTCTTCTACTGGAAGGTCTTCTGGTGTTTTATTTTGGATGCTTACTGGAACCATCCTGTCCTGTTTTTGTAAATGTTTTGATATTGTCTGCTGTCTTCGGGGCATTCAATGGTTATTTTCCTCATTTATTGATTGTAGATTTGTTTGTTTCATCCTGCTTTTTTGTTTTATTTGGTTATGTCTGAGCAGTGGGCTACGCATTGTTTGTTGTTTGCTCGTCTGTGGGCAGGATACTTTTCACCTCCTTCTCCAATGGGCAGGGTCAGTCACTGAGGTATGGTACAGCAGAGCAGGTCCAGCTGAAGGAGAGTTGCTGGGATGGGTTGTTCATGGTGTGTACCAGGGCTGACAGTGTGGACTGGGAATCATTGCAGGCCAGGTTCCAGTACGCCGTGCTTGTGCTGCTGGGGAGTGTGATGTTCAGCACACAGTGCAGGTAGGCAGGAAGGAGGGGGTAGATTGTGATGTGTGGAGCTAAGATGGGTATGGGAAAGATGAGAGAGAGGAGAGAGGAACAGGAGCCAAAACATACACACAAAAAAGAGTGCTAAGGGAGCTTGCTATTGGAGTGGAGAGATGAGAGACTGAGAAATGGGGAAAAACAAAAATAAAAAAAAAAAGGTAAAAGAAAGAAAATGAATAAATCGAGAAACTGGAAATGAAGAAATATAAAAAGGGGATAAGAGAGAGGAGAAAACAAGGAAAAAGAAATGCCCCCAGGGATGTCCCTGTGCATCTGCTCAGAGTAAGGGAATAGCTTCCAAGCCACACGGTACTGCCTGGCTAGAAGGGGCTCCCAAGCCAAGAAAAGAAAAAGAAAAAAACAAATCAAAACAGAATAAATCATAGCAAACAAACAAAAAAGCCCCGGGGGTCCCACCAGCATAGCGGCACGGGCCAGGAAGCAGTTTCACAGTAGAGCGGTGTTTCGCAGCATTTCAGGAAGAAGCAAAGATGGTGCACGGAGCCAGGTATTTGAAAGGAGGGGGAGGTGGTGAGAGGTAAAGAAGAAATCTAAAGAAGGGGAAAAGCAACACCAGCAACCAACAAAAGGCGCTCAGGAAGCCAGCCAGTGCTGGCGGGTGGAATCCAAGCAACACCAGGGTGAAGCTGGTTCTTCCCGGCCAAGAGCCTGGCTGCAGGAAGCAGAAGAGGCTAAGTTGGGGTGAAGAAGGGTGGGGGGTGGGAAAGCCTATGGTTACCAGTTGTTCTGTCTCCTGCTGGAAGCTCTGTGAAGCTGCTTTCTCATACCCTCTGTTCGCTGATCTCTGATAGGAGTCCAAGATGGCAGATCTGTGCTGCAGTAGCTGATAGGGGACCTCTGCGTTATTTCTCCTTGCTGTCTGTTCTCAGTCAGTTTCCTATTCCTTTTGGTGCTTGACTGAGTTCTTTGTCTCTTCATTTGATGCTTAGGGTTTCAGGACTGACATGTGACTCTGTTTGACTTAGTTTTTCTGATCTTTGCTGTGGAGGGACGGCGTGGTGCTTCTGACTATAGCGCCATGTTGACCGGAAGTTTGGAACTGGATTTTTAAGAAAGCTTTTAAATACCGTTTTTTTTCTTGTTTTCTTCATGTTGAAGCTTTTCAGGGGCCTGTTATTTCTATCAGCATGAACCACTTTTTTTTTTTTTTTTCCTCCCTACTGAAGGAAGTGTTCTGTAAGATTGCTTATGTGCTCTTTCTCCTGACTAAACAGCCTTTTCTCTGTCCACAGCATCACCAAATAATCCAGCAGTACATGGTGACCCTGGAGAACCTCCTCTTCACTGCTGAATTAGACCCTCATATCCTGGCTGTGTTCCAGCAATTCTGTGCCCTGCAGGCCTAAGGGTCATTTTTACCCTCATGTCAAGAATTTTTTTTAATATCTTAAAATAATTTGTCTTGTTTTTGATGGTTTGAATGCTTGCTTTCTTGTAGTATCCTTTCACTTAATAAATGAAACAAAGGGGGAGGAGGACAGTGAGGATCATTAAGTTGATTACCTTTAATTGCCCCTAAAAAGCAAATGATTTTCTAATGACAGTAATGTGACGCTGACCATGAGATGTCTTATATGTGACGGTACAGCTTTTCTGACTAATTTGGTATTTTCTCTTCTTAAGGCATTAAAAAAAAAAAAACTGATTTGAAGTATGTCAAACACTAGAGGTCAAGCTTACAAAGTAATGTATAGAACTGGTGGATTTATTACCAAGTAGCATAGCTTTTCACATCTCATGGATAACCTAACATGGCTGAATAAAACTATGTTTTTTAAACTTTAGTATTTCATGATTTATCATCAGTCTACTTTAAAATTGGTAATTTCTTACTGAAGATGTATTTATCTTCACTTGAAATTTTGTTTTCAGAGTATTTTCAAGTAGTATGACACTTTGTTAGTATATAACTACTTAAGAGCAGTTGTTCCCAAATTTGTCTGAATATTAGAATTACCTGGGAATCTTCTAAAAACTATTTTAAAAATTAAACCACCATCTCTGCAAGTGGGACGCAGACATCAATACAGTAGTCCTTAATGCTCCCCAGGTGATTCCAATGGGCAGACAAGTTTTGGAACCACTGTCTTAGAGCCAGAGCCCTGGTGGCACAGTGGTTCAAGTGGTCAGCTCCTAACCAAAAGGTCAGCAGTTTGAACCTACCAGCCACTCCATGGGAGAAAGATGTGGCAGTCTGTCTCCATAAAGATTACAGCCTTGGAAACCCTATGGGGCGGTTTTACTCTGTCCTATAGGGTCCAGCAATAGGTTTGGTTTTTAGGTGGTATTTTTTTTTTTGGTATTAGAGCCAGAGCTTCTAACCGGTTTGCTGAGAATTTGCATTTCCACCCCAGATGCATGCAGTCCCTGGGTTATGAATGAGATCAGTTCCTAACTGTTAAGTCACATTTTTAGGGAAGTTGGAACAGGTGCATACAGTTATCATTTAGCCTTTAGTGCAAGAAAAGGCTCTAGCCTTTTCAATGATTTAAAAGCTGTACGTGCAGCAAGTGAAGGTGATTGTGATGAAGAATTTGTTGCAAGTAGGAGTTGGTGTTTCATAGTGAGGGCAAATTTACATAACAGAAAAGAGCAAGTACGAGTTGTCTATAAGTCAGCCGTTCGTAACTGTATCCTGATTCAGAATCTACATTTTTCACAAGATCCCCAGTTTATTCTTATGTATAATAAATTTTGAGAATCACTGCTCTACTAGTGGTTCTCAGAACTGGTCCCTAACCAGCAGCATTAGCATTGCTTGGGAACTTGTTAAAAAGGTAAATTATCAGCAGGGGTTCAAACCAGAATGAACTGGTTCCAAGCCCTGCTTAGAGCATCCAATCATTTCTCCTAGCCTCTGAAGGTCGTATACAGGTTGAAGTGGAACTTGGGGTAGCCAGACTGACTAAAACTATACTTGGAATTAGATGTGGGTTTGAATTTTGTTTCTATGAAATCTGGTCCCAGTAACTACTAATTCCTACATGGTTTTGAGGCTTAAATAAGATATGAGACTGTTTTGTAAAACAATATATAAGTGTAAGGGATTATCTGACATTCCAGATTTCTAGAATTTTTTTACTTCTTTCATTAAGCTTTAGAGAAACTTTACCAGTAATCCCACAACTACTGGTAGTATTTTTGTTTGCTTCCAACATACGTATCTTCTTTTACTCAATACATTATAAGCTTATGATGCATTAAGCATTTTCCATATATGGTCTTTTTGGTTTACCATACATTCGATTGGCTACAGAATATAGTCCACTCAATAGATGGGAATTCCTAAGATTTTTAAATACCATACCATCTAAGACAAGAAATAATTATTCACAAGATCAAAGTTGCATGGTAGGTTACTAGCAGAAAGGGGACTAAAACCCAGGTTCTTGGCTAAATGTTCTTTTGTTTATATGTCCCTCCTTCCCATTGCGTAAGCACAGCACAAACTATGTAGTTACTTAGAAATGGCTCCTGTCCTCAGAGAATCAAAAGATAATCATTTAAGTTGTTGACAACTTTTAATTTGAGCCTAACCTGCATTATAATCCTTTTGCAATGTATTGCAAAGTTTGGCTAGTTGTACTTGATCCAAATTCTAGAGGGATTTGTAGGTTTTCATTTCCTTTTTTCTTGGATCCTCTCTTCATGTGTAATGGTTACTCCTAACAACTGTTCTTCTACTGATGTGACCTGCTCTATCCCAGTCTGAACCTATACCTATGGAAAAACTGAAATAGGGATTGAATTTGGAAGAAATAAAAGTATAAGAGCAAACATTCAACAGTTACTTTCCCCAGTAATGAAACTCGCACAGACAAAAGGATGGCACGTCACTACACGTCACCTTGCAATAAATCAATATTCCGTTAAATGTACTGATGCCATTTAATATGCTTTTGATAAAGTGAATATATACTCTGTTTTCCTTGATTCCACATCTCCCCTCCAGGAATTATTCATGCAGCGATTAAAATGAAGATAATTTTTTTGTTTTTTGTTTTCCTGGAAAGAATTTAGCAGCGGTTTGTATAATTTACTGATGTATAATTACATCTGAAAATGAAAGACAAGGAAAGACCTTGCCAACATGGGTAAAGCAGATTGGGCTGTCAGTGATATCTGGAAACCAGGATTGTCTAAAATTGATGGTGGTAAAGCATGAATAGAAACATACCTCAACTAGACAAAACTAAATATATTGGTCTTGATGTTAATATGTGCTCAATAACTGGTGGCTATTAGTGCCAGGTGCTATAAACTCACCATATTTATTCTTCACAGTAGTCCTGCCCACTTTACAGATAAAAACAGGCCCCTAGAGTAATTTGCCCAAGGTCCACAGCCAGTAAGTGGAATTTGAACCATCTGGCTCAAGAGCTCATCCCTTCCTCAGTACAGCCCAAACCCCTAGTTGTTATTCTGTCATCAAGATGGAAGCTTTTTTGTCCCAGGGAATATTTTCTGTCCCTGTTCAGAATCAGCACTTGAAAAACATATTAAACATTTCTGCATTGAATACTTACATAAAGTAATTACAGTCTCTAACCTGATTGTTCTCATTTGACTTATTTTGACTTTTGCCTTTCTCCAAAAATAATCAACAGCTGGTTGAAAGATAAAAATGTATAAACGTCCTACTTATATTTGTAGCAGTAGGATAAAGAGTTTATTAAAGAACAACTTGAAAATACCTAGTTTTAACTTGAATTTTTGTCAAAAAAAATACATAGTCCCTATAGTCAAGCACATGGGATCAAATCCTATTATTTACTAGCTGTAACTACTCTGTAATTCTTTTTACAAGATACAGGGAAATTTGATCAGCTAAACTTGATCCAAATGCTTGGAGTGATGTGAGGTGATGTCACTTCCTTCCCTTAGTAAGTGCTAAATAAGTACAAAAGCAAGTTGTCTCCTCAGGATTGCATGAGAATACCTGTGAGGCACTTAGCATAGTGCTTACCTGGCATGTGGTAAATGTTGGTAATCCAGTAAATGTTAGTGGTGGTGATGATAAAACTTATGAGTACTTTCTTTGGTCAACAATCAGATATTTAACCTTGACAGTAGCTGTCTTTCCATTTTAATCCAGTATTTGAAAAGGGCTGCCTAGACACTAATGTCTGAAAACATGACTAGACTCCCACAAGTCATTTTTTTGTTCCAGGTACTTGTCATGACTTCTCCCAGCAATAGCTCCCCACTCCCTCCATAGTCTTGGGAAAAAATTCCCTAGAAGACCTGACGCAGCCTCTGAGGTACAGGGGTATACCACCATCCCTGTTTGTTTCTTGGGATAGTGTTACCGCTGAGAGCACAGAGGCCCTCCAGACTCCATGGGTCCTTGTCTTTCTCTTGTAAGAATACACAGAGGAGATGATTTGGGGTTTGGCTCTAACAGGGTTATTTTACTTGTAACAAGTAAAAGGAGTCAGTGGGGGTTCATGCTGCTCCAAAAGAATGACTCAAAGGGGGAAGCAAGGCTAGGACTTATATAAGTGCGGTAGAGACAATAGAGCAATGAATATTCAGGGTTTCTATGAAGGGGTGGGTACTTTGCGGAATGGCAATGCGTACTAATTAGGTTGCACACGCATCTGGAATCCAAGATGGAACCTGCTGATATTCAAGATGAAATCCCCTCAGCAGCCCTTGACATCACTTATTATGGGATATGGCCAGGCACACTGATCTTCTGTACTACTTTGCCCCCTTTGGTGGGCCAAGAGAAGTCAAACAGCGGTCATACTTTGTTCTGCACATGCGGAGCCTGTAAGAAGCGGAAAGGGACTAGAAAAACACTAAGCAGGAAGTGGTAATTCAGGGGTTGTTCTAACCTTACTTTCTGCTGACAGGATGTGGTTTCCTGTTTACCCAACTTCTAGGTGGTAATCTTTTAAACAGCTTTTATTCCGCCAGCACAGCTAACGCTGTCGCAGGAGTCCAGTTCAGCCAGCTTTTGCCTTTATTTAAAGCTCTTCCTCCTACCCTAGCAGTCTAGAGTCTGCACTTATCTCTTATTCCCTCAATTCATAGCTCTATCCTACCACTTTTGAACATACTCTACACCATTCAGCTCCTCACCCATTACAGAAACAGCAATCATAGACCCAACATTCTGCCCACAACGAACCTGAGCCTTAACTGAAACTTGTTCTTAGGCCATAATGTACATAACTTATTACTGAAGCACTATACAGTATTTCATCTACAAAGACTTCTACATTTAGGTGAATTCTGAATAGAATTTAAAATTATTTTGAGTTCATACTCCCTAGGACCAATCTAAATTTCCTTTATTTAAATATAAAATAGTGTAAAACAGATCACTGAACTAAAAATCACATTTTCTCATAAGTCAGTTCATGGGCGCACACAGTACAAGTCTTCCGGTACATGTCATCTTCTATTTTTTCTTCTGGTCCATACTCGTGTTGATGTGCAACTGTTTCCCTTTTCCACAGACTGCTTCTAACTGCTCGCCGCAATTCTAAGATAAAAGTAAAAGTCAGTTTTTCAGTGGTGGTATTCAGCTAAATCCCAAAATAAATCCATCAGGCTTTCATCTATATCTATAAATAGATAATGATCAAAACTGATTATACAAGAACTTGGCAAACTTACTTTCTTACCTTTCTGGCGTGGCCTGTGAAATCATTAAGTTAATGTTGAAGTAGTATGAAATGGGAGACTCAGAATGGGGTTAAAGGGATAGCAAAAGAGAACCAACAGAAGTGAGGGAGATGAGTTAACAGAACATGGTGTGTTCAGGCAGCTGACTGCAGAAAATGGGTTGCTGCAACAGGAGAGTCAGCTGAAATGACTGAAGAAAAGGAGCATTTTAAAATTCTATTTGTATAAACCGGGAGCTACTTCTATCTAAGAGGCATGACAAGCTTTGCTTGCAAAAAAAACGCCAAGAACTCTGCCACTATGCTGATGTCTCGGAAAAACTGCTCGTGCACTTGACCTTAAGTCTCTTAAGTTCTTTATCCTATAAAATGACAGCACCATTTTAGGAGAGTTGCTAAAAATTTTTAGAAAGCATAACCTAAATAAAAGAATCACAGAATATTAAGAGCTGGAAAGAACCACAGGGTTTTTATTTCACTTTATTTTGCAGGTGAGAAAACTGACAAAGCTTGTGAACCTAGGTCACCTTATTCCAATGATTGGAGCTTTCTCTACTACATCATGTTAAAATGTCATCTTGAAAAAGAGCTATGTGTATGCTTTGAAAAGTAACTAAGTCAGTCACATTTTAAAAGTTCTTATTGCATTATTACCCAGGAAACCAAATGCATAGTGTTAGTTGGAAATGAACAAACGGATAACTCCTCAGTTTCTACTTGAATGAAAAAAAGCAACACTAATTGTTTACGTTTCTATCCTGACCAATGACCCATCCAGCCCAGCACTCTTTGGTGGAGGCACCAGACCACCTCAAGAAGAGTATGATAGCTATCATCTATAATCTCTGAACCATAAAAATCAATGTATACCAAAAAATCACAGATTTTTCTTAATCCACTTTAGACCTATAATCTATGTCAATATCAAAATATTATTTGAATCTTTGTATTTTCACCCTTTCTTAGCTTGTGAGGATAAGCAAACACACACGGCTATGTATCAGGCACTGCTGTAAGCATTTTATATACATAAAGTCTAATCCTCACAGCCCTGGGAGATAAGTATGACTGTCACCCCAGTTTTATAGATGAGAAGTTATATAAATTGCCCAAGGTCAAGCAGTTAGTTGATGGCAGAGGCTTAGTCCATGTGCTTAACCACTAAGCAGTAATGCCTTTTTCGTACCTCCAGTATGAAAAGCACTTTCTTTTAAATTATTATTTTCAAGCTTCAATGTATACACCTCTAGATAAGTTCACAACGTGGGAGGGAAATCATGTTCATCCAAACTCTAATCTTTATTCCTGTCAATCTCTTGTATACTGAAGATCTCTGATTCTTTGAGATGTATCTGTAATGTTCTCTGTCCCTTTATTTTACTTTACCCTGGAACATTTTCTAAATAAAAGATAAATCAAGTAAGATGCTGGCCAGACTGCATGGATGGCTCATGGATTCAGATAAATGGTAGGAAGATGTTTCCTGTCTGATTTCCAGCACCTACTTGATTTTCGGCCTTGTTCTGAAGTAAGGTATCCTGGCCACTTTACTGCCCCACTGAGAAAATTCTTCAAAATCTGACTGCAGCCCAATCACTGATAAACTAACTTCTCTGCCTAATTTAAGCGTTAAGTACACTTAAGAAGAGGGGTAATAAAAATTATTAACACTAAAAGAATAAACCTATTGCTGTCAATTCTGACTCATTTACTTACAGCAAAAGTCTTAACTTTCTAACAATAATTGGTCATAACTGAACACTAAGGTTTACACTGACAATGATCAAATAACTACTAAGGACAATGAGAGTAGGTTTCTCACTGTCAGAGACAGGAGTTACAAATAAGGGAAGGGGGAAATAAAATGAACCCTGCAGTTTTAAATTAGAATTGAATGTATCATTGTGAACTCAAGGTTATTAATTATATATAGTTTTGCTACTGATATCTTCAGGGACTGCTTATATTTTTACCCAAAGTTTTCCCCTAAGTCCTTGTTTCAGTGAAAACAATTTTATACCACCAACTTTATTTGATTTAATATGTTAATTGTACAAAAGAGGCAGCCTGTATTCAAAGAAGCAAGTGCGATGCTGCTTATAATGTAAACTTTATTAGGAAGGTCGGAGGGAGACTAGATACTTTAAAGACTTGACAGGAGGGTGGGAAGTATTAACTTACGAGACCCCCTTTTAACTTGAGGAAAAAAAGCAATAGGCAAAGACAATAACATAAGAATCTTTGCTTTTTATCTTCTATTCCATAAAATGAAGCAAAGTAACAGAATTGTGTCCCCCAAACTCTCCTGAGACGAGCCCCAGGGCAGTCATTAAGTACTAACCACAGGTCCTAGATATAAAATGTCCACAAACTTAGTAAGGAGCCCAAAGATGTTATTTTCTTACCCGTCTTTTTTTTTTTTTTTTTTTTTTTTGAGGGGGGTGCATAGTAATAAATAATGAAGATTAATTTATTTCCCTTTTTTAAAAATGGTAGCCCCTACCAATACTAAGAGAAAGCAGAGTATAACTTTAAAGAAAGGCCTTATCTCTACCTTGTTTATAGAAAGGAGGTTACAGACCCAAAATACTGTATCTGCACCAACTGAAAGTTCACATCCAATATCAAGGCCAAAGTATACTGTATTCTTTGAAGTTCAGTTAAACTGAGCAGCAGTGATGCCACTGTTACTATTTTTGCCTTCTTGGATCTAAGAGTTCTTTAACAGCCAGAAATCACTGACAGGAAAATTCTTTCTCTTGCACTTTGTCTACTTAATATACTTTATACTATTTATACTTTTTTTTAAATCTTGAAAGATAATGACTTTTATTAAATACATAATCACAATATCATTAGCACACTGAAAATTTAATAGTTATTCCTTAACCCCTTGGTGACCCAATTATTTTCGGCTTTGAATTTTTTGTTGATACCATGTGTTTTTATTAAGGGAGGCATTCTGAATCATTGAGTGTGTCTGAATTTTTGGTAGGTATTATGGATTTTTTTTCTTGCCCCGGTCTACAAGCCTACCCTAAGTATTTAGTGGTACATACGAAGTACCACTAATTATATCCCAGAATCCCCACTAAGGTCTGTTGATACATATGTGTAACAAATAAAAATTTTCAAAACTTCTATTTTTCCTACCAAAAATTCAGGCTAATCATACAATACTGTGTAAAAACAGTTATACTTTAACTTTTTAAGATAAATTCTCAAATCGCTAAAGTAAAATATCATAATCTAAAAGCAGGTAAATGGAATCTCTTATGTTTCCATAAAGAGGTAAGATTTGTGTCAGCTTCTTTGTGGATCAAAATCAGAAGACCAAGAGGAATCAGGTTCCAATTACTTTTCAACTAAAAAACTTTTAGACTTGCTTTTACTCCTCTCTGTTCTGCGCCTTCTTAGCAAGCTGCACAGTAAACTCCTTGTTTCTAATCTCTACAGTGTCTACTTCACTCTCAGCCCTTTGTGGCCTAGCCAGGAGGACAGGAACATATCCACCAACCTCTAAATTAAATCAACAAGAAGAAGCCATAATTAAAGCATCACATTGACCTCTGCACATTAAACACCAGAAGATAGTGGAGTAAACATTACAGAATTGAGAGAGAGAACTCAGGATTTCATATGCAAAAGGCAACAGAAAAACATTCTTAGATAAGTAGGGTTAGGGACCTGGAAAATATACCACTTAAAAGACATGCTTCATCTAAACAAGAAATGAAATAAATAAACCAGTCCTAAAAAGGTTATTTCTTACTCTAAAAAACTTCAGGGCAAATTCAAACTTCAAGGATGAGGAAAATTCATAGTAGTTTATAATGATTAATAGTAGCAATTTAATATAGTGAAAAATACAGCCAGTTATATCTGAATTTGTAATTCTTTTTTTAAAAACCTATGAGAATTGTGTAAACCTAAAAAAAAAAAAGTTCTGTTCATACTAATATTTAATAAATATGCTATATTAATTGAATTTTTATAGTAAAAAGCATAATGAAATTAAACAGATGTCATAATCTCTTATCCTTTAGCCAAATTATAGTTGGTCACCGTTAGATGACATCTTGATCAGACTACAGAAACAGTAAGAAAAAATTAGATAGTGCTCCTGTTTTAAAATATTTGTCACTTCGCAAACATAAATTCCTAATCCTTTATTCCTTTACCCACATATTGTCTGCATCAAGATGCCACAGGAAAGTGGTTTAAGGAGGCAGCAGGGAGGGAAAAGTTAAGGCGATTCAGGTAGCTGAGGTCAGTAAAAACAAATATGCCCTCCTCTTTCACATCCCTTAAGATGCCTTTTGGTTACTTCATCTGTTGGCAGAGAGGAAGGGCTAGGGTAGAACACTGAAAAAATTAAAGGGGCAAAATTCAGGAAGAGTCTTCTCAAATCCTCTCAACTGGTCCTCGCTAATATCTTTGAATATTGTGACACAGCAGTGGCTAAGTTTGGAAAGATTTTCAATGAAATGTTCTTACGTAACACTTTACTGTAGGAAACTTCTATACAAAGCTTTAAAAGTGTGCATACCCTCTGATTCAGGAATTGATAAGTTAACTATACAAAGATGTGTCTGAGGATATTTATCATGGGCTTGTCTTGATAAACTCTTGATAAACTTGACAATGTACTTCTATTTTTATAAAAATATTAAAAAGGGTATATCCATAGAAAAGAATTTGGAAGAACAGACATTAAAATGTTAATAAGAGTTGTCTCGTAGAAGTATCATACGATCCAGCAATCCCACTCCTTGGAAGAGTTGTCTCTGGTAGTAGAAACATGGAAGTTTTTACCTTTTCTGTACTGCATTTTTGTACTGAAAAAGGGGGAGGGGAGTAGGGGTGGGCAAATCCCCTCACAATGAGGCTTACATTCAATTCTTTTTTTCATTTTTGTTTTGTTTTTTAAGACATCTGAGCTATCTCATTCAACCTCCAAAAAACTCTTAAAATTCTAAAATTATAAGCAAAATCATTTATTATATCTATAGCATTCATGTTAAATTGATCAATTTATACATATATATGTATGTGTGTATATATCTCTCTGTACTTTACACCACACTAGGATTCTATATAATTAATGCATGAAGAACATTTATGCCTCCTTTTTAAGACTCTTTTTAGGGATTCATGATACAGCAGAAAGTGCCCTTTGTGCTCCTATAGCACCCTATGTTCATCACTATCTTAGTACTTATCACACTGTTAGGATTTTAAGTTTACTTGTCTTTCTCCCCTGACAAACTGTGACAATATTTATGTTAGCAGAAAAAAAAACCAAACCCACTGCCATCAATTCCAACTCATAGCGACCCTATAAGACACAGTAGAACTGCCCCATAGGGTTTCCAAGGAGCAGCTGGTAGGTTCGAACTGCCAACCTTTTGCTTAGCAGCCCAGCTCTTAACCACTGCACCACAAGGGCTCTATATATACAGTGCCTGGCAAATAGCTGACACTTATTAAATACTGGATGGATGGATGGATGGACAGAACTGACTCAGACATATGCATATATGGACAGATGGGTGATGCATGGACAAATGAGTGGATAGATAGATAGGCAAAGGAATGGACAGCTGGATGGATAGACAGATGCATGGATGGAGAGATGAATGTAAAAATATAGACTTACAGTCAAGAAAGTCTAGTTCCAGTCTCAACTCTTCCACTATTTAACAACTCAGTCCACGTTTCTAAGTCTTTTATTCATATATATAATAAGAGTGATTAAACTAGCTAATGCCAGAAGGTCCCTCCTAGCTGCAAAGTTAGATGACTAAGATATTTTCAATTTAAACAATTAGAGAGGTGTGCTGGTGAGTATCTTTGCTTTTTATAACACTGTTGGTCATATTTAAGATTTAATCAGTGCCAAATCCTTGACCAGGAATACCATCCCAATCCTAACATTGTTTCTAGATAAAAACATGACTCATTTTAAGATGATGGCTTACGTGCTTTTCAGAAATGCAGTACTGTGAGGTCTAGACTCAGCCTCAAACACCAACCTTCTGAGGGCAAACTTTACCTTTTTTTATCCCCAAACTCAAAAACCACATCCCAATATATCTTCTTCACACAGGAAGAACTTAGCTGAATGCTTTTTGCAAAGTGGTAAAAGTGGTAAAGCAGTCTGTCATGATATAAAATGTAGCCACTTACCTTTTACTTTTTTATCAAACTTCTTCTGTTTCATTTTTTCCCGATTTTCCTGTCGAACTTCCTTTGCTTCTTCTAATGCTTCCTGACTACCCCAAACCTCTAGAGACCTCTTCACAATCTACAACACAGAATCCATATTTAGTTGTGATTCAAAGTTGAAAAATATTATAAAGTTATAATTATTAAATCCACAGGTGTCAAATAATTATCTAACTCAAGTACAAATTTATAAATATTTGAAATTTAGAAGATTTTAAATATTAATGATAAGAAACAATTCTAATAACATCTGACTAAATCTAAGAAATATATACTGAATCAGATTATAAACAGAAAAGTTGTTTTCCCTCTGAATCTATTATTTATTTGAAGATATGGGATTTTCTAGTACATTCAATTCAAACCGTGCTCTAAAGCAGTGCCTCCCAATCTTTTGAATATAATGGCACAAATAGAGTATTACTATATTTGTACAGATGCAGGAGGCTGTGACTCAAAGTAACTAGCCTGGGCACTCCAGCAGCCCCAGGCACTAAGCGCATAAAGAACCTGGCACACTTTTAACCCGTTTGCAGAGGTGGCACAGCAGTTGAGATCTCTGCTCTGAGATATACTAGAATTACATGGATATTTGATAGGGTTCCAGATGGGTGTTTCCCAAGTGGAATTAGATTTTATGTATTTGTGAATTCCTGAAATTTTTCTTCTTTTTCTTTAATCCCTCCCCCACTACCCACACCCACCCCCAAAGGAGAACAGGGTCTGATGCTTATTCCAAACTTTTTTACTGTCTGAACTGCACTCCTAACATCACCCAATAGCATTATATTTGTTCCAAAGTACCACACTAAAAAGTAAAATAAAAAAACATTATGTTGTTAAATGTCATTATACATGGCTGTGATTCATATACAGACAAACAACAAAGGAAAAGGATCTTTTTAACTCTCTATAAGCACAACTGAATTAATTATAATTAGTTCATTGTTAAAACTTCACCTGATCCAGAGTCTGAAATGAATAAATACAACTTATTAGAGACCTGTAATTTTAAGTAGAGTTTCATATCACCCCACTGTGAATTATGAGGATTCTTCTTCACAATAAATTTAAGAGCTGGTTCTCTCTTTTCTAATTCACAATCTTTCAGAAGATATTCTTGTTTTGCTTCTGTTTTGGTTATAAGCTTGTGTTTATCATCAGCATCTCTGAAAACAGATTAAGTCCATTATATAAATTCATTTTTTTACTAAACTAAGTTTTCAAACTGTCCAGCAACCTAGTAGCATGTGCACCAAAAGGGAAATATACTTTTTCCTGCAACTCTCATGATCAAATTAGGGGCATAAAAATTCTAGAAGAAAAAATACTTTATCTGTTACTTATTCTGAGAAGCTGTTACATTGACAGCAGATCCATATCATTTAACAGTTAAAGAATTTTTTTTATACTTATTTCAAGTCCCTCATATGCCACAAATGATTTGAAATGACTTATGAGAATAAATGTAAATGAGCACAAAGACTCAATAAGAAAGGAATACAAAAGCATACAGTCAAGATGAGCAGGAAATAAAGAATATAAATATGCAAGCTCCAACCACCTAGCAGGAGTTTCCAGTTGGCTCTGAGCTTTTTCAAAGCCAAGATAAAAATAGAGACATAGTAATTACATAGTTCTCATTCAGTTGTTTCCTGTCTATGTGCCAGGTTTGAGGCACTGGGAATAGAGCAGAGAATAAACAAAGCCCTGTTCTCATGAAGCTTACATTCTAGTTGGGAAAAGACAGTCAATTAACAAATAACCACAGGTAGAAGTGCTATAAAGAACTATAAACCATGGTAAAGGGATAGGAATTTCCAGATAGGTTGAGTAATCAGAAAAGGCCATGATGATGTAATATTTGAGCACAGCCCTTAAGAAGGCAAACAGCATTCTGGATAACTAGAGTACAGTCACAGCACAAGGAACAGTAAGTACAAAGGCTTCAGGGCAGGAGTGTGCTTTGCAGCTGAAGCTCACAGCAAGTAGGTGGTGTGACTAGAATGCTTAAAGTAAGTGAGGAGAAGTAGTGGGAGCCAAAGTTAGAAGTAGACAAGGGCCTTGTAGCCATCGCAGAGATTAAATTTTATTCTAAATGGATAGAAACCATTAAAGAGTTTTGAGCAGAAGAGTGGCATGGTCTGGTTTGTATTTTTAAAAGATTGGCTGCTGTATGGAGAAAAGACTCTAGGGGTGCAAAAGCAAGGGGCCAGAGACCAGTTAGAACACCACTGCACTGGCCCAGGCAAGAGCTGATGGCAGCCAAGACTAATGAGAGTAGAAGATGAGAAGTAGACAGATTCAGGGTATGGTTTGAGGACAGAGCCAAATGAATTTGGAATTAAACATGGGGTAGTAGAGAAACAGCCAGTGAGTGAAGCTGGTCTTTACTGAAATGGTGAACACTGAAGGAAGAGCAGGTGTAGGTCAAGAAGGGGAGAAATCAATGGTTCCAGCAGAGGACCCTATCACAAAACCACAGGACTTAAAACTGGGAAGGACACCAACGCAGGACTTGGCTGAGGTAAACAACAGGGAGAGCAGAATTATGTGGAGGGAGAAGGATTACTGGGGTGATACAGTAAGAGGATAAAGGCTAGGAGAAGAAGAAAGAAGATAAAGAATGACAGAAGAATGTGATTTCTCCTCATCTATTCTCTTCCCTGCCTATCCAGGGGAACAAAAGTGGAATGGAAAGAGGTAGGCTGAGAGGGTAAAGAGGTCAACCATGCTGAAAGAGTGTGAAGAGGTTTTTCTCCCCTCCTCTAACTAAAGGCCCCAGTCCTCTGACCAAGCTGTTAACATACACTGAGATAAGTAAGAAACGGGGTGAAGAGAAGGGCTGGGAACTTGCTACTGAGAGATGGTAAAACCCCACAGGCCAGCTGAAAGGAAAAGGAAATTTCTAAGGCAAGACCATTGGCATCCTTCCTATATGGGACGTATCGTAAGTTTGACAAGCACAGGCTAGAAACTTCCCGTATTTCTTTCTCAAAATGGAAACCACAGAAATTTTCGGAAATGCCAAAAATCAAAATCATAACCACTAATGAAAAACTAAAGTCAAAAGGATCTATTGTTTTGCCCTAAACCTATATGTAAGCATTAAACATTAGCAATGAAGAACATCGTATTGTCTGAAACAAAGTGAAGTACCTGCAGTTATCACAAGTTGCTAAATCAAAGTGGTTCATGAGATAAGAATCCATAAATTCTTTCCCACATTCTTCACATATTGTATAATCAAATTCCATAACAGGTCCTAAAGAAAGGAAGATTAATTCTTTAAGTTTCCTTTTTCTGTAACTAGAACAAAACATTCTCCTCAATTTTATTCACTTATTACCATGTACTTTATGCCCAACACAAATATATTTAAGTAGAAGACAAAATAAAACATTGATTAAATAACCTTCTATAGCTAAAGAAAATGTTTTTAAATGAAAAAATGAAATAATCTGAGGAATAAGGTTCTCAATAAATATTTCTTGAATGACCTGTCAAATGAAAGTATAGGCTTTATAGCCCGCAGATTCAGGATTCTACAGAATAGTTACACTGAGTCTTCACATACATAATCATAGGGACTCTAAAGATCGTTGAATTCAACACCTTCCCTCCTAATGTAGGGCTTCTATTCTATAGTATCCTGGTCAGGCGGTCTTTCATTCTCTGAACCCCTCCAATGCTTTGCTATTTTGAGGCAGCATTTCACATGGTTAAGAAGTTTCTCCATTTCAGAGTCACTATGAGGCTCACAAGATACACATGCCAAAACCTAAGGGCAAAGGGCTAAATGTATGTAAGTTAGAGGACTACATGGGGCCAAAATGTCTCTCACTGTAATTCTCATCCATTGTTCCAAGTTCTGCTCTCCAAAGCAAATCACACTAAGTTTAATCTATCTTCCATAAAGGAGGGCTTACTTCATCTGCAGGCAGCTGGAAGCCTTACCCAGTTAAACCTAACCAGTTTTGACAATTGTTCCTAATACGTCAATTTCAGGCTTCCAATTTGGCCACCCTCTTTTGGATACTAAACATTTGTCAATATTCCTCTTAAAGTATGGCATCCAAACTAATCTTTCAAGTCTAACCTTCTGAATATAATAGTTTAGATACACAGAGCAGAACAGGAATCTCACCTACCTTAATGAATACACGTCTGTTGGTACAGCTAAAGACTAGAACAGATTCTTTCACACTGTCATATTCCACTATTGTCTATCAAACTTACGATCAAATAAAGCTTCCAGTTCTTTAATCTTTTCAAAGAGTGTGAAAGTATCCTCATCCTGCATTTACCTTAGATTATAGTATCTTATGTAAACAGTTTTTTATCTCCCAATGTAAATACAAGAATTTACCTAAATTTTATTTACCTAAATGAAGTTCTGGTCCCTCATTTCAGTCTATCAAGATAATTTTGAGTATTTATTCTATCAGTCAATATATCTGCTGTCCTTACCTATTATAAAACAACAGTGAGCTTCAACCTTCAGTAGACAATCAGAAACACAAACACAAGTTAAATTATTGATCATTTCCATATGTATAGGTGTTTCTTTGATTTTTAAAATACTAGCAAAACTGCCAAACTTTATCACTTTTATAAAGTCAATCTGCTCACTGCGTAAAGTAAGTGCAGTGTTATTTAACATCAGTTTGCAAAGAATTATGCATGTTACTCAAAATAACCAACTCTAGATAACCTATTTTCTGAAAAACACACTATACCTGGTTGATGAACAACTTGTCCAATCTTATGCTCCTCTTCTTCTTCCTCTTCCAAAAGGAAGCCTCCTCCTGTGTCAATTACCTTTGGGTTTGCTTTTACATTCACCATGCCTACAAAAAGGAAAAATAGTCAACAACTGAACTAGGTAAACTCATATGTTCCCTTGAACATAAACAGGGACTTTCTTTAAATTTATTATATATCAAACAAGACAAAGATGTCCACTACCATCACTTCTATTCAACATTATACTGAAGGTCCCAGCTAGTGCAGTAAGGCAAGGGGTGGGGGGTAGGGGACATAAACCTTGGAAAGAAAGAAGTAAAACATCTTCATTCACAGATAATACAATTATATATGTGGAAAAGTCACAGGAATCTACAATTAGAATTAAGAACTATCGAACACCTAGAAGAGATGTGTAAAATTTCTACAGTGATAACTATAAAACACTACCAAGAGAAGATCTAAATAAATGAGGAAATATGCCATGTTCATGGATAGGAAGCCTCAATACTGTAAAGATGTCAATTCTCCCCCAGATTTATCCAAAGAGTCGATGTAATCCCAGTTAAAACTGTAACAGCTGGGGGAGGCGGGGGGGGGTGGTTGACAAGCTGATTCTAACAGTCATACTCATGGTTACGATTTACTACAGCAAAATGATATAAAGCAAAATCAGCAAAGGGAAAAAGTGCATGGGCAAAGTCCAGAAGAAACTAGGCAAGTTTCTAAGAGTCCTCTCCTAGTGGAATGACAAAGGATGTGTTTAATTCCGCCAGCATTACACTGTGACAACACTTGTGAAGTATTGTCTACCAGGAAAGCACATTAGAGACTCAGCACCCAAGGTTTTTACTAGGCCTGGTCACATAAGCACCCTCTGCCTAGCATGTACCAAAATTCCAGACTCCCAGAAGTCTAAGCAGTTGTGTCACATAAACCACATTGTTTATATAGTTTAGGCAGTGTAAATCACCTTTATCATTTACACTCCCAAAACCCAAGTTCCCAGATGCTGGCACAGGGCCAAACTTCAAGCAGGCTTTGGTAAGGATAACAGTCTCAGGCCTGCTCTGTTATTTTATTTCTGTGCAACAAGAGATTAAGGAATACATGTCAAATGGGAACCATGCTGTATAAACTTTCACCAAAAACTCAGTAAAATATTATTTAAAAAAAAGAGAGGGATTTACAGAGTATAAAAGAGCAACATCTTTGACAGTCCATAAAAACACCACTACTACTAATAACTAATATTTACTAAATGTTAACTTTGTACCAGGCACTGTTAAAATCACTTTAAAAGGACTATCTTAACCAGAACTAACAGGGAGCAAACAGGATAAACCAAATTGGGGCAACTTCTATTTAAGGGCCGCCTTGAGGGTTTAGAGGTAGGAGGAACATGAAGAGAAGTGATTCATCGTAATAGCAAACAACAAACTGAGGTGGAAATATTGCAAAATATCTAACAAGCAAAAAGTTAGATTCCTTAATTATGAGTTTGCCCAAGTGCAAAAAACCTTTTTTAGGACTCTGGATAGTGTTTCAAGGGGCAGGGGTATTTAAACAAGATACACAGACCCAATAGCTCCCTGCTTCTGCCCCAAAAAGAGGGCAAAGACCTTCCTGTTTTGACCTACATTACTAGTGATAACCAACACTGCTTAATATTATATTACTTTCTAGTTTTCTTTGTGATCTGGGTCTAGTTGGTATAGGAATTCTTTACTTTCTCTATACTTGCCATGTTGTTGAAAGTTGGGGAAGGACCCACATGGCCTTAGACAGTACCTCTGGCACCAGTATGTTGGAGAGAGAAGAGCTTTCACGGTAATATATCAATGTTTATGTGTCTACATGGAAAATGGGGAAAACGCCTCCTGATGTACCTAACTTTCAAGGTATGTATTATAATCAAGATAGATAATGAGTATGACAAGCACTTTATACATTATAAACTGCTATACAACGTGAGGGTTTAAAAATAACTTGGACTTCTGGCAAAATGGCGCTCTAGGCAGAAGTACCACGCCGTCCCTCCACAAAGATCCAAACAACTAAGCCAAACAGAGAAAACAACAATCCGGAAACCCTAAAACATCAAATATCTCAGCCAAGCACCAAACGGAGTGAGAAAAATGACAGAGAACGGAGAACGAGGAGAGATTCATGCAGAGGTCCCCTACCAGCTAAAGCAGCGTGGATCCGCCATCTTAGACTCCTATCGGAGACCAGCAAACGGGGTATGAGAAAGTGGCTTCACAGAGCTTCCAGCGGGAGACAAAACAACCAGTAATTTGTGATATACGCTTTCCCACCCCCCACCCTTCTTCACCCCCACTCGGCCCCCTCTGCTTCCCGCGGCCACAATCTCTTGTCCGGGAAACACCAGCTGCTTGGATTCCACACACTCGAACAGGCCAGCTCTCTGAGTGCCACTTGTTGGCAGCTGGTGTCCCTTTTCTCCGCTTCTTTTGATTTCTTCCTTACCTCTCACCACCTCCCCCACCTTTCGCTAAAATACCCGGCTCTGTGCGCCATCTTTTCTTCTTCCTAAGGGGGTGCGGAGCTCCGGTAATTTGTGATATATGCTTTCCCACTCCCTACCCTTCTTCACCCACACTTGGCCCCCTCTATTTCCTGCGGATACAGTCTCTTGTCCAAGAAACACTGGCTGCTTGGATTCCACCAGCCCTCACTAGCTGGCTCTCTGAGTGCCATTTGTTGGCTGCTGCTGTTGCTATTCTTTCTGCTTCTTTTGATTTCTTCCTTACCTCTCACCACCTCCCCCTCCTTTCACTCAAATACCAGGCTCCGTGCGCCATCTTTGCTTCTTCCTGAGGGGCTGCGGAGCTCCGTTCGAGTGTGGAGCTGCTTCCTGGTCTGGGCTGCCACGCTGGTGGGATTCCGGGGCTTTTGTTCATTTGTTGTTTTGAATTGTTTGTTTGTTTTCTTTTCCTTTTC